TTCTTCTGTATTAAACTCCGCACGTATTTGTTTTGACTTTTCCAAGATAGACTTTATTACGAATTAGTTTTACGTGTTGTGTCACAAGGAAATATGTACTCATGCTACTTTGTTGCTAGCACCTAGCTTGTTGTTGACCTTTCTATTCAGCGATCAAAATAAAGTTGGCTATTATTGTCAAATCGGCTACGGATTCGGCCGAATTTACTACTCCCTCCGTTTCAATTTATGTGAACTTGTTTGACTGGGCACGGAGTTTAAGAAAAAAATAAAGACTTTTGGAATTTGTGGTCCTAAACAAGTCCAAATGGGGCTCAGAGTATTTGTATGGTTATAAAAGCTTCTCATTAAGGGTAGAGTTGTAACTTTAAGTTAAATTGTTACCAAATTTGGAAAGGGTTCATTCTTTTTGGAACGGACCAAAAAGGAAATAGGTTCACATAAACTGGAACGGAGGGAGTATTATTTTTTAAAACTATATATTTCTTTAAAAAATCATTATATATGTATAAATTGTTAATTTGAAAGTTAATATAACTTTTAAAAAATTACAATTCCGAACTGATGGCAAAAAAAGAGGGCAATCCGGTACAGTAAACTCCCGATATGCATGAGATTCAGGAAAGAGTCGGACCACATGAGGTGTTGTACGAACCTATATGCTTCAAATTATAGATCCACCTTAATCCCAAGTGTACTTGTACAAGAGGCTACGTCTCTTACTTCGTCCATTTGTGAATATAGTTCAACATTTGAAAAGCTGAGTACACAACTCAAATATGTACAAGAATTTTCAACTTAGATTCTAGGAGGATAATACTCTTATTGATATCCCACTGTTTAATGTGTAAAATTTAAGGCATGGATAAGTTACATAGAAAAAATGTCAAACCATACATTATTTATAACTACGGCTTTATAAAAAAAATTAAAAGGCTAGAAAAGTTGATAGTCAATTCCATCGATGTGAAAAAGAAAAATCCTTGAAGTGACTGAGAATTTTCAAACTACTCCATATAATACGAAACCTTTATCTAGTTCTATAAATAGCGCTGCTTCTCTAAAAGTTTATTTTATCCATTCACAAGTTAGTTTAACAATGGAAATTATTAACGTTACACGATTCATGGTACCTTTTCTTCTTGTTGCATTATCAACAAGCTTTTCTTTCCTCGTAAAAGCTCAAGATGTTCCTGAACCGGTGCTCGACGTTTCCGGTAACGCTGTCCGGACAGGAGTGAATTATTATATCCTTCCAGCGGGTCGGGGCAACGGCGGTGGACTTCAGGTGGCATCCATTAGGAACCGAACCAATCCACTAGTCGTAAGCCAACATGCCGATGAATCTTCAATCGGCGGTTACCTTCAATTTTCACCTGCGAACCCTAACGAAAACATCATCGGAATATCAACTGATCTGAACGTGAAATTTACATCTATTCATATCTCTGATTCGTCCACAGTATGGAGAATTAACACTGAAATAATTCCGCAGCGTTATTTGGTGACAGTTGGTGGAGTAGAAGGAAATCCAGGGCGTGAAACATTGAGCAATTGGTTCAAGATTGACAAGTACGAGGATGCTTACAAACTTGTGTATTGTCCTGGAGTTTGTGAGACATGCAGACCATTCTGTGGAGACATTGGAATACTTGTTGAAGGTAGCAAAAGGGTTTTGTTTGTTCGTTCTGATCAACCTTTGAAAGTTACATTTCATAAGATCTAGAATTGCAAATACTATACTATATGTGATTTCATTGTATATAGTCTGTATCAGTGAAGGAATAAGGAAGAATATAGTCCTCCACTAGTGTTGATAATTAATAAAGATTGTTATGTTTTTAGTTGTGAAATTATATAGCTACTACATGTTTCTTTAAATGATTTATATGAAATGCAATATAATAAAGGGTGCGGCTGCGTCTCTAAAATTCATCTCTAATAGTTGCAAAAGTTAAAAGGAAAAAGAATAAAAATACTAGTATTCAATTTCAGAAACAGAGACGAAGAAAGCAACTTGCTGAACAGAGACGAAAATACAGCAGGATCGACTTATCTATGGGTCAATGCTTTGTTGGACTATTATAAATTGACACAACGCTACAGCCTGTCACTATATTTATTTTCTGTTAAGCGTGTTAAACATTAAATTGATGATTTTTCTCGTTTGTACCACTGCTTCATGTTATATAACATTATTTCTTTTGAGTAATTGGATTTTGACGTTAATATGACTTCTCTTTTTATTTAGCACTGTTTGAACGAAATTAAAATAGTTTTTAAGAACGTAGTTTGAGAAAATATAATATAATATCAATTATATGAACTGAACATTTAAAATTAATCAAAGTTATACCCTAAATTATTTCGATTTGAGAAGTCTAAAAATGAAATAAAGCGAAATCTTTCGGACACGTGAAGCAATATTTTCCTCATACTTTCAAAACTGCCGAGTCAAAATAGTCATGCTTCTGCCATAATTAATTACCCCTATAATTAGGTTCAATTGTGATTGTTGGCGGCAGGGGATGAGCTAGCACGGGAAGTACGGATCTATAAAACTCAATAACTTAGGTCGTAATCCTATATTATATATATGCTAAGAAATCTACTAAACTTCAAAATCTACAAAATTCAGAATTCTCATGAACAAGCATAGATTAATTAGATGCTATTAGTTCAACATCTAATAAGGAAAAAAAAACTACAGATTTACGAATCCTCTTTAAAATCCTAAAAATTCTAATATCTAATAGCTAGCTAGTTCGACATGGAAATGGCCTTTTGTAAGTTGAGGAAAGCTTTTTCATATCGTACAAAGCCCATGAACCAAAATTCAAAATTATCTTCAGTCACTATCTCGATGTACTTTTGAGATGGTTTGTTCTCGTTCACACTTGCATAAGCTCTTTTAATTTTCTTCACTGGAATAACCACCTGCAGGAATCATAATTTCCACAATATTTGAGAAATATTTCACACAACACAAGATTGACTAATTAATTATCTTTTGTGCTTTATACAATTGTATGAGGCCTTAGTAATGTTGCAAAATCAAAATGCTCTAAAATATTTGAGATCTCAGAACCCCTAACCCCTACATATTTTATGGTGCGACAGCTAGAGGAATAACAATAGTGTATGTTAAATAGTGACTATATAGATAAACAAGTACGCTGTGGTCTGAGGGAATAATTGAAAGCCGTGTGGGGACGAATCTGTGAGTTAATTATTCAATTGAGATGGAGTATAAAATTTAGCATAGGTGAACTGTACCCAATTTATTAAAAGGAAAAAAAATACAGCCTGCATTTTTCCTCCTAAAATCATTCAACTAATATTCCCCTTTGCTTTTTTTTTAAACCTAACTCTAGGCATTCCGCACTTCAAAGGGAAGCCTTGGCGCTAATTAATGTTTTCGGGAAAAAACACAAAACTAAAGCCAATTATATTGAAAAGTGTTACACAAGTTGATAATGTCTTACCTACTCGTGTAACCTAACAAATTTTGGACAAGTCTAGCTGCTTAACTCTAAGTACTCAACTCAGGAGCACAAAGCTTTTCGCATTCACGCACGAGTCAGAGAAGGACCGCACGCTAAGGGTATTCATATAAACAATCTACTTTCACGGCTCGAAGTCGTGACCTATAAGTCTTTAGGGTTGCTCTAAGCTCCCTTCAACTAGGTATTCAACCCATTTCATTTTACTTAGAATAAAAATTTACAGAAAAAACTGAAAACCCTCCCAAATTTACGCTTCCATTAATTTAACACAATCAATGTAATGTAACTAACCTTGTAAGGTGTTCTAAGAATTCCTCCAGAGGGGAAAGGAACAGCTATGGGTCTTTCACTGCAGAAAGCTATTTTCTCTGTAGATATGAACAAAATCCCAGCAATTGGACCCGCTGTTGTGTACAAATAACACTGTGATGCCTTTAGCAGCTTCTCTCCTTCATTCACATTAAACATATTCCTGAATATATTCCTTCTCCCTCCTTCTTTCACTATTTTCAGCTTCCCCTTCACCGTTTCTGAAAACTTTGGCCCCAATTTCACTGCAAAACATCAAATTTAATTTACGAAAATATTTAGTGCATTTTTTCTTAAAGAAGCAAAAAGGGAAGGAAATAAATAATTAAATTAAGGGGCAGGGCTGTTTGGTTCAAGGGATTAGTTGAGTTATTCTGTTATAAATTTTGGAATGAAATTTATCTTTGATTGGAGTTATTAATTAAAATCGGTATTATTTTTATACCAAAATCTTGGTTTAACTTATCCCATATAGGATGTGAGATTGATATATTATCCCGATTATAATCCTGGTATTACAATCTCAGGATTATAATTAATTTGGGGAAATGATACTGTATATAGCTGAAAAATATTTTTTTTTTGTATATTCTATATGTTATATATAAAAAATATAGTAATTTTTATACACTTTTTTGGCTACCTAATAAAGATAATTTTTGGTTGGGGCTAAAAGTGAAAAAAGTGATATTCTGGTTTTGAACCAATCGCACCCTAAACAGAATGAATTAGACGTACATACATACCATGCTCGCGAATTCTATAAGCATAACTTTTTGCTTTCTTTCCCAATTTCCTCTTGTGAACAATTATAGCAGAATCATCTTGACCTGAAATTAATACATAAAAGAGTTAACAAAATGATCCTTAATTTGATTTGTTTCTTCTTTCTTTAATTTCCTGTTTAAACTTACTTGGAGTAACTCTGGGAGAGTAATTATCAGAAGAAGAAGAACTGTGAAGAGAGCTGACAGTTTCAGAATCTTGAGAAAAAGAAGAATGCCTTTCTGGAGTTGTCCCAAAGGAGGAGCTCATGGCGGAAGAGCTGCCACAATAATTTTGTTGATCTTCAAATTGGTAATGATTTTCCTTCATGTTTAATTTGAGTATTTTTGAAATACGAGTGATTTGCATGTGAAAGTAGGAGGAAAGTGGTATATTTAAATGGATGGTTGGCCGGCCACACAGTACTCAGTGTAGATAAGAATCTTAACTGCCCCCACCGTTTAGTTTACCAAAAATTAACTCTAGTTTTTCGAAGATTCTTTTTATTTACTTTTTCCAGAAAACACGAAGTTGGGGCCGTCTTCTGGAAACTATACACATTGCTTTACTTAAATCTTAATAAATTATTAGTTTTTTCTAACTCTATATACATAATAATCTTTTGGCTTACGAGATCTTATTTAATCCTTGACTATGTCACATATATATCTCCTATTAATATTGTAAAAAAAAATTCTCTATTTTCATGGTTCTCCTCATTCCTTACGAACTTTGAAATATAATTATGATTGCTCAAATGTGTACTGGAGGTGCAACTGCATGTCTGCAATCTTCGGGAAAAGATAAAACAATTTAAATTTTATAGCAAATTCACTTGTACTACTGTATTACGAGGGAGGAATTTTTCAGAAAATCTCTATATTTTATTATTTCGTCTTGATTTTACACCATGTATGTATTGTTTTCCAGGTATGAAATGTATTTTTATTTTTTTTGCACCTTGTATGTTTGACTGTATTTTTATGGTTATGTACCCATGTATACACCCCTATATTTTTTGTTGTTTGTATCCTTGTATACATCCTCGTATTAATTACACGAACAATACAATTGACACATGCTATATTCGTTGTGCGAACTGACAATACACTAAACACATACACACTTTGCTTAATAAACAGTGCATGTCATGATATGAAAAGTTGTGCGAACTGACAATACACTAAACACATACACACTTTGCTTAATAAACAGTGCATGTCATGATATGAAAAGTTGTGCGAACTGACAATACACTAAACACATACACACTTTGCTTAATAAACAGTGCATGTCATGATATGAAAAGTTTAGGGACTTTGCCGTTAAATAACTGTAATCCGTACAAGAGCGAAAAAAAATCATCTTTGTCCAAAGAAAAGGTGAAAAAAGAAAGTCGAACGAAAAGGCGAAGAATATAATCCTAGTATATAACAAAAGAAAAATAAAGAACTACACTATCAAGTATCAACATAGTAACAAAGATACATATGTCACATCAAAGGAAACAAAAAATTGATAAGACCAGCTGAAATAGTTACGATAGCAGCCACCAACTTGGAAAATACTAGTACTAAAATTGTGGAAAATCCTAATTAAAAATGCATATCTAAAATTCTAGAAAGACCACAAAGTTGACTTGCTTTCTTTCAAATTTCGTCTAATACGCTACCAAAAAATCCATACTTGAGTCACAGTTGGGCTTTTGTTCTTGTATGGCTTGACGGGCTCACCAGCCACTTTCCCTCTTTGGCAGCTCTTTACATTAACTCGATTGTATCATCACGAGATGTAGAAAACTTAAACATTCATAATTAATTAGAATGGCTGCTTTACCACCTATTTTGAGATTAAGTAACTATTATGTTACGATGAAAGTATATTCTCTGAAATAATTTTTATTTTTAGATGAACTCATACACATTTTATATCGTATCATATGTTGTGTGTACTCTCTAAAATATTGTCATATCCATGCCAGATTCTCCAATAATAATCTGATACGCACCCGATAATATTTTTTTAGAGTTCGAGCAACATAGACCTTATCAAAGCATTGTCTTGAATTCAAGACTCACTTCTCGCTAATTATGAAAAAATATTAATTTTCACGTTCATGTTCATCCTTTTTATCGTAATTTGCATCCTGGTGGCAAAGGCACAGTGGATTCAAGCGTGCGACATAGTTTAATCTATTTCATGAGGGTATGTTTGCTGTTACTTTCATGTGACTTTCGCTCCTGGGATTTCTCTTTGTTATATTAGTGCGACAATATAATCAAGCACGTAGTTTTAACTCTCTTTGTCCTACTAATTAATACTAGTCAAACTTTGGTCCGACCAACGAATATTATGTTCCTGTAATCACATGCCAAGACCTGACAAAGAAACACGTTTTTTGGTTCTCATGATCCCTATAAATTAACACTTTCTCTCTCCTCCTTTGGGTAGGGATAACGTCTGCGTACGTACTATCCTTCTTAGACCCTATTTATAAAATTTTACTGAGTTATTATTATTGTTGTTGTTGTTGATCCCTATAAATTAAATGGAAGATTGTCTCTATTAATATTAGTTTAATATTTCATTCGGTCCACAATAAGTGACCAATTTGCTTTGGGTACACCCATTAAGTAAATACTAAATTCTAGACGCAAATAGTTAGTGTGACTAATCTACCCTTCATTAAATGTTGCACTACAGTTATAGTAGTACTTACTTCTCTTCTCAAATGTGAGGAGTAAATAACTTTTTAGGAATACGTACATAAGGGTAATTTTGGAAAAAAAAATTGAATTTTTTCTTCATTATATAAACGAGCATTTATTTTTTACCAAAATAAAAAAATAATTTGAGCACTTATTATGGACCCGAGGGAGTATCATTCATTAAGAGTTAGTATTTCATTAATGGACCACCTACATGTGCTATTGACATAGGCGTACTTGTGTTGCAAAGAGAGTGGTCATCTCCATCTGAAAAGTTCGGCAAAAAAATCATGTGCACATATTAGTTGTTATATCTTTTAGAAATTATGATATATTAGTAATAATACCCTACTTACAAAACAGATTTTGATTGAATGAAAATGTGCATTCGCGACCTTCAAATCATCGGTCCACCTGACTATTGATCATATTGTTAGCGCAAAATAACGAGTATAACCTTTTTCTTCTTACTAGTATAATATCAATACTTAGGATTAGCGTTATATTTGAGTATTTAAGTGTTGGATTAATTAAGCAAACAACAAATAATCTTTCGAAGATTGAACGAGTTCCGAATTACCCGGGAAAGACTAAGATAAAGTTAGGCTTCATTTGTTTTTACTTAATATAATACGAATATTTATGGACTTTTGTGTTGTAACTAATATCTTCGAGCTTCTATATATTTGATTTGAGATTGGATTACACGAAACGCATACCAATTAAACATTTATTCCTCCACTAGCCAAATATATTACGTACTAATATCAAACGCGCGACTTATAATAATTTCATAATACTGTTTAGCCATCTAATTATAAGATGAATCTTAAGAATGTGACACCTCTTTGTCTTTTTTAGACCCATACATATGCAAATATGGTCAAGGATGTGGTCTATTTCGTCGATTAGACATAAATGAAAGACGGATTTGAACTTCATGAGTTCGAATTTAGAATTTTACTACTGATCATTTGATTTAATAGACGATATAAACTTGTTTATTTGTATCTATTTAATAAATTTTAATATATATATATATATATATATATATATATATATATATATATATATATATATATATAAAATTTGAGCCAAAACTACTGAGTTGGATAAATCTATAACTTGCCCTCTACATTTTTTCTTCAATTCAACTGTTTAACAAAAGAGTGTATCATCTCTTAGGTAAGCAAGAGACTAAAATAATATTATTAGATTAGATAAAAAAAACCTAACTAGTATTGATTGAAGTATATATGTTCGAGCAGCCGTATTTCTTTGAAGAAAGGGGTCTCTCTAGTTTCTTCTTCACGTGTTTGTGGAGTTTGATCCGAAGTAGTTATAAATTAATAATTATAATATACAATTGCTTCTTGTATTATGGATCGTTGAATTTTTTTGGTCAAAATTGTAAGGTACTTGATAATCTGAGACTCGCGTGTACATTTAGTACATTCTGTTCCTTTTTTTCCTTTTCTCAATTGTTCTTATATAATTATTTGTTATTTGCAAGTGTAATTAATCCTTCTTTTTGCGCAAACATTTTCTCCAAGTTTGCTGCCAAATTTCAATTCACTTATTATGATCTTAAAATTCGTAAAAGGTGCGTAGAGTAGTACTGCCATAAGCGTTAAAAAAAGGAGACATTGTAGTCCACATTTTTGTGTGACTCCACATAAATACCAATTAACTTTCCGTAATCCAAATGATTATATCTCTTCTTTCAATGAACTACTTTATTGCATCTTTATTTTGAAAGAGGGGCATGTGAAAAGAGACTACTAGAAATTCGGTCAAAACCAACCGCTCCGGTAGGCAAAAAATCAATCGAAAAGTCGATCAAAGTCAGTCGATGTTTTAAAATTTTTTAATTTTTAATTTTTTACGTAATCAACTAACTTTGGTTAGTTATTTTGGCGCAAAAATGCGTAAAACTATTTTGGCGTCTCGCGAAATTTATTTTTTAAGAAACCGGCCAACTTTAGTCGGTTATTCATGCAAAATAATCACTATTAATATTAAAAAACCGACCGAAATCGATCGATTATTTCAGTCTGTCCTTTTAAAAAACGACCGACTTCGATTGGTAATTTTATATTTTTAATTAAATTGACCGAAATCGGGCCAGTTATCTTCGCGTGAAAATACAATTAAAGAGTACAAATAAAATAAAAGAAAGTCTTAAACCAAAATGTATTAATGGTCTAGCGGTAGAATAGTATCCTGCCATGCCACAGAACGACTCTGGTTCAATGCCCAGACTATGTATTTTTTAACTGCATAATTAAAAATCTCGATCGAATTTTTCGACCTACTTCGGTCGGTTTTTTCAGAAAAAATTTTCTTTTTTGGTCGTTTATGAAATTTAATTGACCGACCGAAATTAGTGGAAAATTGCGATCGATTTCAATCGATAATTTTGGATGATTTTAGGCAGTTTTTTAGTAGTGAGATAGCATGAAACTGTATTTACTAAAATGTAAAATAGAACTAGGAAGTATATTGAAAAACATTATCCTAATTGTAGATACAATCAATTTGAAAGGTGATTTCTGGTTGCACAAGTTGGATACACATTTCTACACTTACCGAGTGATACAAACATTGGAGAAAGTGTTGGACTTTAAGCTATTGGGCTTTAAAGTAGAAGGAGTGTGAATTAGAAATGGA